ACTTTATTGCCACGAATACTTGAAAATACTTAAAAATTCGTCTGTATGAGGTGGCATTTAGGGGTAAAGCAACGAAGGTGCGTGACAGAGGAAGAAACAGAGGAGCGAATGCGTTGGGAGAGACAGGTTGATGAAACCGAACCGACGGGAATGAAAGTCTGCGAAGATTTATGTCCGCGTTAATAACTGCGTCGTCGTTCGCGGGATATCGCTGTCGACAGTCTCGATTGTGTTTCTCGCGGTGCCCGAGGAAAATCGGTGCACCCTACAGCGCCGCGCGTTTACTTTCACGTATTGACCGCGTTGAAACGTGCGTAGAAGGTGTTTCCAACGTTTCTGACAGACGTTCTTCTCGCCAGATGAATGCGTGAAAGCGAGCAATTTTGCGTGTTGTACGTCGGACAATTGTTGTTTACGCCTTTGAAGGAGTTATAGTTGCTTACATCGTTGAGTAATTTACCATGGTCGTTGGATGTAATGTACCAAATGTTATTAAAATGCACTTTCTTTCGAAATATTCAATGTTTAGAAGGCTTGGACTTAGAAATCTCGTTCTTATTCTTCTATGTTTTTCCACGAATAACATAGACAATTCGGTGTAGTTGCACGAAGAAATTTTAGTACGAAGATAAAAGAGAATGATTGAAATTTTGACCAATGTTTTGGCAAGCCAAAAATTAATTCAAATAAGATAGTAATAAAATATTAAAAAGTATCTTTTGTTTCAGAAATAATAGAACGTTTTCAATTTTAATAACATCGTAGGAAAATGCGTGAATCACATCGTTGCTAAATGTTCAGGAAAAAATTAATTAGAGGAGATTCAAGATATTCCAATGAAATTTATCGAGTTTGTTGAATCAACGAGTGACGTCTCGTTAAAAACGACCGATTAATTAGAAACAGTTGTGGAAGTCCGAGGAAGAGGCAGACGCGGAAAGATCGATCGCCCCCGTGCACGGATTCTACGAATTCTTTGTACACGGCTTAAAGAATCGCTTTCTACGAAGTTCGAAACGACGGTTGAAACTTCCTAGTCCATTTCCCGTACCAGTCAGCCTTGGAAACTTACAGACCGAACGTATACGCTACATCTAATATAAGGAGACCGATAACGGACTTCTGAATTTTTCTAATCCATCTATGGCGCTGTTTTTTACCGACTTTCTTTGTGTATCTCAAATGGTTTGTGAGCGTGGAAAGGTTGAAATAGGAACTTGAAAATAACCTAAGTTATGAAATTCTGAATAACGAAGCAATTGGACCGGGCGAGAAAGATTTCTCGTACAATATGTTTACTTTCACTGAATTGCGAGGTGATTGTAAGAAACTTGGAATACAATAATTTATTAAAGAAGAGAGAAGAATTAATATCATTTGTAACGAGTGTGTATTACGCATTTCAAACATTCATCAACCGAGGATACTAATTACACTGGAACTGTTTTTGCGCGAATTCCATTTATTTAAAAAATTCTGGCTATTGTCCGATTAAACGAACTCTTGGCAATTGAATCCATTTATCTGAACACAGACTCCTATTATATGAACGAAAAATCGCGGATAATGGCGAGAATCAAAGCGCTTCTATTATATAAACTCCTCCAAAGATAAGACAGCAAATATTATAAAAGACAACGATTCTAAGCGTCCGTTCTATTCCAACAGATTCTAAAAAGATCTTCACGACAGTTTTCGCCAAACGCCGCATTTCCCAACGTCCATTGAGCGATTTCGATCAAGAAATCGATTCATCTTCGCGAAAGCAGTGAGAATTCTCGTGATAAACGGTAGAGAATTCGACAAACGGAAAGGTGGTTCCGCATGGAGGCGAGTTCGAGCGTATCGCGGGACGCGAGCGAACGCGATAAATCTCGGCGTAACGCGGTCTCTGGCCGACGCAAGACGGTGTGGTCCCAAACGTCTCTGGTGAGCCGCGAGGAAATTGCGGAGAAAGCGCACGGTAATGCAGACATTTCCGTCGCCTAGCGGAACCGGAACGCCCGTATTTTTCGCCCAGGGAAAACGAGAAAGCTGGGGCTGGATTGTGTGCACGATGGTGGCCCTGTAATAGACGCGAGAGACGGGATCCTTGGGAGCAGTTTTCGCCGGTGTGCCGCCTTCACCGGAGCAATTTCGAGGGGCGAAAAGTGCACGGCCCTCGTCAGATAACAGGCCGACCCGTGTCGATATTCCTTTTACCTTGTATTTCGCGTTACGGTCTCTGTATTTACCTAATGAACTCGGCGATGATTTTTAGATACAGCTTTCATTTTTAGTCTTCTTTCGCTCCTTGTTGGCTTCGGTGTTTTTGGAAAGCATGTACAGTATCGCTCGTAAGTATACGGGCACTTTGGTTAATCTATGATAACAATGTATGAATCTTATCAAAGTAATTCGTAAAAGTCGATGCATCGGTAATTAGAAGCTTTTTTTATGGAATAACGTGAAGATATAGCGTATTGTATTTTATTTTGTTGCCATCTCTTGGGAGTTCGATGTTTGATATTTTTGAGATCTTTTAATACAAGAATCGTTCTTAAGCAAACAAGACTATAAACAAATACGTTAGTAATTACCGACAAATCGAAATATTGGATCGTTCGGTATGCTCGTTGCGATTTTGAAGGAAGTTGGTCGACATAAAGAATCATATTGAAAAGTTTTTCGCCGAGAAGCCTGAGAGTTTCTGGAAGGATGGAATATTCAAGTTGCATGAAAGATGAAGAAAGCTTGTGGAACAAAATGGCACCTATATAATTCAATAAATGTATATTGGATCGAAATGTAAATCGAACAAATTTTTCAAGCAACCTAATATAATCAACCAACACTCGTATTTGGAAAGTCGCAGAATTTTCTACTGAAACACTCAGGCTGAAAGTATGAAAATCTTATTACTTCAACATCAGATAAAACCCTGTACGCAATATTAATAATATCAACAAGACAATAATGATACAAGTAAAATCTCAAATAATCCTACTCTTCCCTAAAAAAAACATTATTTTTTCTTCCATCACAATTAAATGCGGATTCAACGAAATATGTCGTTGCATCTGCTGAAGATGTGGATTCGTTCAAGCTCAAGCCATCTAAAAGAGGAAAACGCAGAGGGATATTCGCGGAAACGTACGTAGGACGAGCGACCCCTATTAGAGGGTAATACGTATTATCGATTTTAGAACGAGGCGCAGGTTATCCCGGTTCAAATCATGACAAATGTATACTACCGTGTGTGGCCCGGTTGTCTGCTAGCTTATACATGCACGTGTGTATGTATTAGTTCGGCCGCACCCTGGAAAAACTTTTCCCAGTCTTTTTTTCTTCGTATCAGCGCGCAACGGCAACTGCCTCCTGGATTAGGATATTCTCATGACTATACACGAACATCAACCCTTTACGCGTTCGAGCACGAACCTTTGTTTGATTCGCGATATCGCGAAACGATTCTGTGGATGAATGCTTTTTTTTTTTTAAATTGTCTACGATTATTGGTGAATTTTTTCATAATACGCGAAGCACTCTTTAATCTACCGAAAATCCATGATATAGAGGGATCGTGACGTGCGTGTCGCATAAAAAGGAAGAAGAATTACGAGAATTTCAGACCGGTTTTACAGAGAAATACATTTATTGTTCAGTCAGTTATTTAAATATAATAGACATCAGTCTCATAGAAAAATATATTTATTGTTCACTTAGTTATTTAAGTATAATAGACATCAGTTTCATAGAAAAATATATTTATCGTTTAGTTAATTAGAAGAGTAAGCGGATGCAAAAAAGGATTAGGAAATTTATTAATGAGTAAGATACTCGAATGAAAGCCAGCGATTGCCAACCATACCAAGACGCATAGACTCACGTGTCACGAATCAAATCGCGTTTCGTGTATCAAAATCTATACTCTAATTGTAAGTTGGCTCACACCAACATCCACGGGCGATAAAACAGACTGGTCAACGCGTTGTATCGAAACGTGGACTGCGGCATCTCGTACAAAGACGAAATGGGAAAAAGCGTTAGCAGTATCGACAGGTACAGTGAGAAATTGCCGGGTTAATTGCGAAAGAAACGGGTGAGCAGAACGAGGCATCCAGGCATCGGCGAGTTAAATATCCTGCGGTACCGGTTACCAGTGAGTCGGGATCGAAGAAAAACTGGCGAGTTTAGAGCACTCGTCGCGCGTTTTGCCTTGACCTACGAGCAGAACGCCTCTGCCAGCTTCTCCCTACCATCTTTTTCTTTTCCCTTTTTCCATTGTTTCTTCGTTCGACCAGTTGGCTGCTTCTAATGGGGAACGCGAACCACTACGGGGATTTAAAAGTTGTTGGGCTTCCTCGCGCTCCTTTCTCTCGATTAGCGTGATTTTCTTACATCTTATCTACGTGGGTGGTCAGCACAATAATTTAGATCGAAGAATTTAGTGACACTGTCGAGAAATCAATTTTCCTGCGTTGATATTCGAAGCTAAAATTAAAAAATTAAAATTTCTATCAATGCAGTTAGAAAATAAAGAAATCGATGATAGAATTTATTAACAATCCTAATAAGTGGGACGAACATTTTAAAGGTAGTAGAGTGCCGTGAAACAAAGTCGATACTTGATGACTTCGACAGGCGAAGTGACAGCTGATAAATCTTCGCGGGTTTTCTTCGTGTGATGGCAGGTCTTGATTGCTTCGAGTCATTTCTTTGCTAGGAATGGATTGGAATGTCTTCTTTTACAGCCTTCTTTGACCGTTATATTAGAAGGTTCTTTTCATCTTTCCTCTTTCTTTAAATTATGACACTGTCATTTCATGGAACCACATAAAATATTTCTTTTGCTGAATGTATCTGTTAATGTAATATGAAAATATGTTAAAATAGCAATAAGTTCAAATGCATTTACTCAACCATGAGTTCCGCTGTCAGTACTGAGAAACATTACCGCACTTTACTCTCGACTAACCGCCGTAACCAAACTAATCGACGTTTTCTCTTTCTCGTTTCAGCAGCAAAAATTCGTGAAGAGGACGGCCGAGGAGTTGGAGCCAGCCGGTGGTGGTAGCGGAGACGGTGGCTTCGGCGAGCCCCCCGTGAAGCTGCAATGCACGCAGGCACAGCATCAACATCAACAGGGACCCGGTGGCGGTGGTGGTGGCGGTCCCCATCATGGCCACGGCCAGCATCCGGCTGGGAATGGCGCGAACTCCACGGGTCCGACGCATGGCGGCGGTGGAGGTGGCGGCGGTGGTGGTGGAAATGAGGGACTGACCAAATTCTCCGTCGAAATTGTGCAACAATTAGAATTCACTACGTCTGCGGCTAACTCCCAGGCTCAACAGATCTCTACGAACGTGACTGTGAAGGCGTTGACGAACGCGTCGGTGAAGAGTGATCTTCTGAACGCGTCGTCATCGCCGAAATCAGGTCCGGATACGCCAGCATCCGCGACGTCTAGGCCTCAGACTGGAAACGGGGCTGGAGGCGGACCAGGCACTGGGAACGCTGGTACCGGAGCACCAGCTCCCGGTGGAATCGGTTGCGTGGATATCGGTAACCTGGTCGAATGCAAACAGGAGCCGGACAACGAGTTTGTCGATTTAGAACAATGCGCAGCCGCGCTGGAGAAAGACGCGGCAGCGAACGGCGCCGGGTTCCCTGGCTTTTCCGACTTCATGGGCGACGACACGGGCGATGAAATCATCACCTCGGATGCGTTCAAGGATCTCATCTCGGAGATTTCCGACTTACATCCCGAGTTCATGAAAGACTTTGATTTCGAGGAGAAGATCCCGGTGGAGGCATTGGCGAACAACGCGGTGGTAGCTGCGGCTGCTGCCNGCGGCTGCTGCCGCGGCAGCAAATAACAACAATAATAATAACAGTATCGGGACGAACAACGGACAGATCAAGATCGAGGATGACAAGGACTCGATACACCAGCAACACGGGAACGTGAACAGCAATAATGTAAACAACGGTACAAGTACGAATAATGGTAATGCCAACGTGCCAGCTAATTCGAGTCCTGGTGGTCTTGGCTCTGCCCAATATTCTCCAGCCAGGCTACCTTATTCCGGTCTGGACTTCAAGTCCGAGATGAGCCCCGCCGCTCAGACGCTGAAGCAAATGGCTGAGCAGCATCAACACAAAAGTCAACAGTTGGGTCTTGGTGGATTTAATCCTGGAGCCGCAGCCGCAGCCGCTGCCAGAGGACCAACCGCTCGTTCACCTTACGCGGAATTTCCTCAATTTGGTGGCACGTCCGACTATCTGGGCAGCCCTGGCAGCGCTGGTCCACCCGGTGGACAATCTCAAGCGACCTCGGGCACTGGATCGTATCACAAGAACAACGGTACGTCCGGATTCCAGAGTCAACAGACGAATGACATGTTTGTCAGCTCGCAAACTCAATTCGCCACGGGCCTCGCTGACATGAAGAGACCGCAGCCTGCCACCGGTGGCAAACCGACCATGCTTGGACCAAGCGGAGGGTATAAGCAGCAGTATTCGCCATACGGTAGCCCAGGATCAATGCCGAATCACGGCAGCCCTGGGTATCCGCTTCCACCAAGAGGCTCCCAAGGCGGCGGACCCAATCAAACCGGATCCCAAGGACCCTTCAGTAGCTCCACACCTCCTAGACCTCCCTCAGGACCTGGCACATCCACTTTACAAATTAACCAGGCACAGCAGCTACACATTAACAACCCCGGACATCAGATTCAGGTCAGTGGATATAATTTTTCCTTTTTGTCTCTTTCCTTCAGTTTGCTTGATTCGGTTATTTGTCGGAGATTAAACGTGTTAGATTTTACGAAATTTACTTTGGTTTCGTAAAGAAAGCTTAGCAGTTTTTAAAATGTAACGTAATTAATATAATTATTCGCTCTATTATACATAACAAATTAATTTGCTATGTAATAGATGACTGTTTACAAAAATGTTAAACATTGCTCAACCTTGAAAATTGTGAACAGCAAGAATTTTTAAGTGAAGAGTAAAATAGAATAGGCGAGGGTTGATTAAATCTTCAAAAATAATCTAATTCACAAGAAAAATAAAAATCTCCTACGATCATTAGAAAAAAGGAACATAAAAAGAAAACCAAAGTTTTTTTTAAATAGACAGCAAAATGATAAATAGAAACGTCAGGAAATATCGCGTGTGAGTTAGTGGAGGCCGAATGATATCTGTTGCGTCGCGACGACGCGTCTATTTTTGTCGGGCGGCATCACGACTCGACGTTGGTGGTGGCGACGGCGCTGGTAGTGGTAGCGACGTCGTC